AGCAGTTTCACCATCTGTCTCTCCTGTCACCCCCTCCCCATTCATCATCGAGGTGGGAAGTGCCTTCCAGCACAGACCCTCAAACACCAGCACAGACCCTCAAACACCAGCCTTTCATAATTAAAAACAACCAAATCCTGCCATTAGCATGATCTGTACATCCAGGTCAATTAGTAAAAAAATGGTCTTTTTGGAACAAATTAGTGCACTGATGAAGCTGTTAACATTTTCTAACATTACAGCTTCAGTCTATTAAGCACAGTCAGTGTTGGCTGCTGTGGCAGCAGCTGCTCCACACACAGGAGCAGATCCAGGTCTCAAAGGGCAGCCAGAGACGAGCAGGGCCATGGCAGCCTCAGTCAGGAACCACCTGCTTCTCACCACGTCTTCCTTCTCCTGCACCACCTTCATTGCACCACGTCTCCCTCCAGCTCCCTCAGCAATCCCTCACTACCACCCCAGCCCATGTCAGCCCCCAGACAAGGATACCATCCACGTGCAGGATCTGGATGCCCCACAGGCGAGCGCTGGCCAGGATGCTGCTGCCACCCCAGGGGTCCTGCCCAGACAGAGGTTTGACAAGTACAGCTCAGAGCAGGGGTGACATCATGAGCCACACACAGCTCAGAACCCAAGCTGAGACATATTTTCCTCTTGCCCAACTGACAGAGCATTGCATGGCTGATATTAACAGCAGGGCACAGAAGGAAAGGCTCCATCTACCCCAAATTAACAGTACGATCTAGGTGGAAGTTTCAATCCCTGACACAACATGACCTTCTAAGTGGGCAGTGAGTTTGTTTGGGACACTTGTGACATCAGTGAAAGGACTGCAGGAAAGCCTTTTGCCCCAGCTATGTGGCTTTAGTCCTTTCTAGGCTAAAAAAATAATTTAACAATAAGTCAGATGTCAATAATTCTCTTGTGTTGAGCACCCAGATCCCTGGGAGAAGCCTAAGAAGTACAAACATGGACAGATGACACAGCCCCATGGACAGTGCCCAGGAGCACTGCACAATATTCTAGTTTAAAGAGAGCTTACTGAAGGAAAAAAACCAAAACAAAATCAATAAAAGGAAAATTGGCTTCATCCTGGCTCTAACGAGGACAACAAGCAATGGCTTCACACTTTTACCAGCCCCCAGCTCTGCTCCCCTCAGCAGGCAGGGGCTCTGGAGCAGGGGCTGGCCCTGGTTCTGCATTGCTCAGCACTCCTTTGAACACACCCAGCTGGAGAAAAGCCCATCCACAGGCTGCTCACCTGATTCTTCATGGCCTTCTGCAGCAGCTCCTTCCCCCTGCTGATCAGGGCCTGCAGAGAGGGAAGCCAAGAGCTGTGTGAAGGTGCAGAGCAGCCTGGCAGCCCAATGGGAGGGCTGCTGGGGTACCGTGCCAGGGAGGGGAGTCTGGCCAAGGCTTCATCTCCAAAGCAGGACTGAGCACTTCCAGGGATCTAAGGGGCACCCCTGGGGTCTACTGAGCAGCTGCTCAGCCAAGGCTGGCACTGAACACAAATACTGCACAGAGCCAGGAGGAAGGCACAGAGCAGCTGGGAAGCTCTGCCTGCCATGTCCCACCAGGCTGGGGGGTGAGGAACAGCCTCTCTGGCCCTTCCTGGGAACAAGGGCTCCTCTGGGAGCCAAGGATTCCAGCAAACAGGCTAAGCTCTTTGTAAGACAGCACTGTGAGCAAGGACAGGAGACAAATGCTGTGGGTGAGTGACACCCTTGGCACAGGCCCAGGCTTCCCACCTGCAGCTGGCAGAGGTGCCTGGGCAGGACAGCAGGCTCTCCCAGTCCCAGCTCCCAGTTGACACCAGCACTCAGTGCAGGACGCTGGAGCTCTGGCCACAAGCACTACTGCCCAGAGCTCCCAGCCCCAGCAGAGTGAACTGGACCAATCCCTTCCTGGGAGCTGCCTTGGTAGATCTGCTCCCTGGCTACACTGGCCTTGCCCTGCCTGTGAGCACAGCCTGAAATGCTTTTATCTTGTCCCCATTCCTCTGCCTTTTCTAGATGCAGCTCTGCAGCAGCAGGACTGCCTTCTCCCTTGGGAAGCCAGCCAAGCCCACCATTCCTCTGCCACTGGAGCAGATCTCCTTGTTTGCTGGCCCAAAGGTGTGACACACACATTTGAGCAGACACAAGGAACACGGGTGTGAACGTGACCAGCCAGGGCAAGACACCCCCTGCTCAGAGCAGGAACAGCACTTCCAGTACTGGTCCCAGGTTCTACTCTATAGATCTCTCAGGCCAAACTTTAGGGTGCCCTAAACTTTTATAGCTCTTACCTTGTCTGGTGGCTTCTGGTGAGGTCTGGCATGATTTCCTTTGGAGGTAGAAGGCATCAGGCTCATGGCTTTTTCATCTCCTGAGGTTACGTTGTTCCACTTCTCAGTCCCAGCCCTGGCTCTGTCTCTTTTAGCTTCTTTGTTGCTGGACACCACGTAGCTGACTTCTTTGCTCAGGAAGCTCTCAGTCATCTGCAGCATCACAGGAGCATAGAATGTTGGGGATTAGAAGGGACCTCTGAAGATCATCCAGTCCAACCCCCCTGCCAGAGCAGGACCCAAACCAGGGCAGGTCACTCAGAAAGGCATCCAGACAGGGCTGGAAAGTCTCCAGAGAAGGAGACTCCACAACCTCCCTGGGCAGCCTGTCCCAGGGCTCTGCCACCCTCACAGGAAAGAAGTTCTTCCTCATGTTGAGGTGGAACTTCCTGGGCTCCAGTTGGATTCCATTGCCCCTTGTCCTATCACAGGGCACAAGTGACAAGAGCTTGTCCTGCCTTCTTGATGCCCTCATGTATTTATGGACATTAATTAGATCCTCCCTCAGTCTTCTCCTCTAGACTGAAAAGCCCCAGGTCTCTCAGCCTTTCCTCATCAGACAGATGTTCCAGTCCCTTCATCATCCTTGCAGCCTCCCTTGGACTCTCTCCAGTCAATCCCTGTCCCTCTGGAACTGGGGAGCCCAGAACTGGACACAACACTCCAAGGGAGGTCTCACCATGGCCAAGCAGAGGAGCAGGAGAACCTCCCTTGATCTGCTGCACACACTCCTCCTGATGCACCCCAAGATACCATTGGCCTTCTTGGCCACCAGGGCACATTGTTGTCTCATGGAGAACTTGTTATCTACAACAGAATCTGTTATCAGATAACAGAGCAGCTCTAGAACTGTCCAACTCTGAGCTGAGAGAGTCCTCATCTCTGCAAGCAGCTCCTTTGCTCACTCCTCACTGGTGTCTCCCAGGAGCAGAGGGGATTTGATGACGTGCAGAGAGCAGCACATGGCAAAGAACCACCAAGCCCACAGGCTGGTGACACTCTGTGACACTCCACCACTACCTGCTCCCCAAGAAATGCTTTCAAAAAAGAAGCAACAGCTGAGGAAAAGGCCCTGGAGATCATGCACCAGTGTGGGAGGGCTTTGCTCTCTGGAGAGGACAAGACTTCTTAGCAAAATGAAGTAGAAAATGAGCAGGTGGGACAAGCAGCTCCATGGACAACAGGGCAGCAGGGAACTAGAAAGGCAAAACACACACAGAGCTTTGCACAGGCAGTAGGAGCCTGAGGAAGAGGTGGAAACCCAAGCTTTGGGGCACTGCCAGGGGTTTATCAGCTCAGCAGAAGGCAGGCGTCGGGCACTAACTCACAGGTGTGAAGCCCACAGGAAGAGGAAGCTCAGAGCTGCCTGGAATCGTGGCTGCTGAACAAGTTGGTTGTTCCATGAGAGGATCCCTGTGGATCAGGATCCCAGGCACCCCGTGGGAAGTGCCACCAGTGGCACCACAGGCTGCCCTGCAACTCTCACCTGTGTGACAGGAGATCATGGGGGTGCAAGCACAGAAGAAATGAAATCAGAGTCTCCCTGTCCAAATAACACCCCAGAGTGTCCCCAGCCCCTCATGCCCTGAACTTGGTCCTGGACACGGGGCCTGGGTTTGGATATTTCTGCTGAGGTGCTGCCTAGAGATGGTGGCCATGGCACATTTGAGTTCAGTATCTCCACAGCAGCCAGAGGAATGAGAGCTCCACTGCCACGATTCAGAGGGAGGTGACCTGAAACAATGGTTGATAAGAAACTAGAGGGACAATTAAAAGGGTAAAATTATTTCCAAGTAATGGAGCAGCCACGTAGAGACAGAAGTGCCTGGGAGCAAGTGGCTCTCAGGCCTGAGGGTTCATGGTTAGATGAGAAAGGCTATGAGAACATCCCTGGGTGTTGACAGCACATCCAGGAGGCAGAAAGGATCAACATGAAGGTGTGATGAAAAAAGGGGAAAAAAGTGCCAGTCAATGTCCCCACTTCTCCCCAGCCAAGACGTGGGCCTGGCAGCAGAGACACAGCAGCAGCAAGAGCTGAGGGAAGATTTCCCACCTGCAGGGAACATTGAGAGACCTAAGGAAGTTTTGGGGTGCACATGAGATCTGCCTCAAGTTACACAGTCTGAAAGAAACAGTAACAGCTTTTACGACCAAACTGTAGTTCAGAGTGAGGGAACTGAAAGATGAAAGTGATGGAGAAGCCTGGGCTGGGTCCAAGCCCTTCCTCTGCTCCAGCCTGGGGGGCTGAGGTGATGTTGCTCTTAGAGGGGTGTTGGGGGAAGACGTGAGGGTTGGTGAGGGAGAGCAGACCAAGGAGATCTGGAGAGATCGTGGGGAATGAATCCCCCCAAGCAGCAGCTTCACAGGGGGAAGGGTCCAGAGGGCTTTTCTGGGAAAGCCACGAGAAGAGCAGAGAGATACACGACAAGAGATGCTTGGCTGGGTTATCCTGCTTTGGTCTAAGTTGGATTGCAGGAAACATGTGGAAGTCCCACAGCTTCTCTAAAAAACTGAGCCTCCATAGGCTGTTGTGAGGGATGAGGGGGAATCAGGCAACCAGACCAGTCAGCACCTACTGGAAGGTGCCCCCATCACCAGGTAACCAGTTAGCACCTACTGGAAGGTGCCCCCCTCACCGGGTAACCAGTTCCCACAGCCAGGAGGTGACCCCATGCACCAGCTGGTGCTACCAGAGAGGTGCTCCCAGGACCAGGCAAAGAGTCACCCCTGCCCGGCAGGCGGGGCCTGGCAGGACAACGAGTTCCCAGCAAGGAAGGCAGGAGCCGGTTTTCCTGACGCCCTGCCCGGGGACAGCGGGACGGCCCGGGCAGAGGGGGCAGAAGGAGGGACCCGGGGGGGGCGCGTGAGGAAAGGAGAAACGAGGAACGCGTTAAAGAAAAGCAGGTGGAGAAGCGGGGAGAGAACAGAGGGGCCTGAGCCCGGGGG